AAGCCACTGGAATTATAGTCATGTGCCACCATGCCAGCTCAACATTTCAACATTTATTGTGAAATGCACAGTCCAGAGATTTACATTAAGAATGCCACTGAAAAACACAGTATATTTATAAATTTTAGAACATTTCCCTCAGGTTGTATGTTTTCTGGAACATTCTACAATTTACTTTGCATCAAATTCTTCATATGATTTACCTCTATAAGACTCCACTGTATGTGGAATTTTCACAGGCCTTTGAAACTATTTGTTACACGGGGGCTGGTGTTATGGCCCAGCAGTAGAGCGCTCACCTAGCAAGTTCGAGGTCCTGGGTTCAATCCTCAGCACCACATAAAAATAAATAAAGGCATTGTGCCCAACTACAACTAAAAAATTTTTTTTCAAATTGTTTAAAAGGGGGCTGGGGATGTGGCTCAAGCGGTAGCACGCTCGCCTGTCATGCGTGCAGCCCGGGTTCGACCCTCAGCACCACATACAAACAAAGATGTTGTGTCTACCAAATATTAAAAAATTTTCTCTTTCTCTCTCTCCCTCTCTCACTCTCTCTTTAAAAAAAAAAATTGTTTAAAAGGTAAAAAGAACTCACACTGGAAAGAGTTGTAACTATCTGTTACAACTGACAACTATCTTGCATTTTTTTCACATTTACAAGGCTTTGATCCAATGTGCATTCTTACACAGGGTTAAGTGAAAACCTCTGCACATTACTTCAAGGTTTCCCATCACAATGTTTTTCATCTGTAAGCTGAACCACCATGATTAGAGGAATTCACACACACTCTACACTGATACAAATTCTCTCCACTATGCATTCTTATGTTTGCTAACAAGGTTGTAATAGTGAAGCAGTCCCACTCTGTATATTCAGGAATTCTCTCCAGTGTGAGTTCTTTTATGTCAGTGAAATAAACTGCAATCAGTAAAGGCTTTAACACATTGCTTAACATAGATGGAGTTTCTCTACAGTATGAGTCCTTTCTTGTTTTCCATTGAAACTATTGTGATCACTGTTGTGATCACTTTACCGCATTGCTTACATCCTTAAGGTTTCTTTCCTGTATGAGTCTGTGGCATTGCAGAAGTGGGAGAATGAAAACTTTGCCACTCTATGCACAGATAGGGTTTCTTTCAAGTGTGAATTTCTGAATGGAACTGTGATCGCTGACTGCTTTACCACATCACTTACATACACAGGATTTCTCACCACTGAGTTCTTTCATGCCTCACATGAACCAAGACAACTAAAGGTTTTCCCCCATTGCTTACATTCATAGGGTTTCACTTCAGTGTGAGTTCCTTTGACTTTGAAGGGCACTATGATTTCTGAAGGCTTTCCCACATTACTTACATTCTTAGGGGTACTCTGTGGTGCAGGTCCTTTTATGCTTCAGAA